AAAAAAAAAGTTAGAAGTTGTTTAAAAAGTTAAACTTGTTTTTTTGTTTTTTTGTTTTGCGGAGCTGCCAGTTTTCCAGAGCCATTGCACCATTTTCTATTTTCACCAGCAGGGTATGAGGGTACCAATTTCTGCACATCCATGCCAATACATACTATTATCCATTTGATTCTAACCATCCTGAAGGGTGTGAAATGGTATCTCATTGTGGTTTTAGTTTCTATGTACTCAATAACTAATGATGTTGAATATCTTTCTTGTGTTTATTGGAGAAGTGTTCATTCAAATTTTTTGTCTTTTTTAAGTGGGCTGTCTTTTTATCATTGAGTTGTAAGCATTGTTTATATGTTCTAGATACAAGTCCCGTATCACACATGTGATTTGCAAATATTCTATACATTCTATCAGTTAGCTTCTTTTCATTTTCTTAGTAGTGTCCTTTGAAGTGCAAAATTTTTACGTTTTGATTAAGTTAAATTCATCTTTTTTCTTTTGTTGCTTGCGCTTTTCGTACCATGTAAGAAACCACTGTCAAGTGCTACAATTTAGTTTTAGAAAATTTTCATCCTTCCCACAAATTCTCCATTCTTTGTTTACAATCAACCCCCAATCCCACCCCATGCCACTGATCTGTTTTTTTGTCTTTATAAGTTTGTCTTTTTTGGACATTTTTTATAAATGGAATCATGCAATGTGTGGTCTTTTGGGGTGGCTTCTTTGACTTGGAATAATGATTGTGAGGTTCATCCATATTGGTGCATGTATCACTTTTTGCTCCTTTTTAATGTTAAGTCATATATTCCATTGTATGGCTATGATCAACTGATGGACATTTGGATTATTTCCAGTTTTTAGCTATTGTGAATACATACTTTTTTAACTTTATGAGCATTTGCATACAAGTCTTGGTGTAGGCATGTTTTTATTTCTCTTGGGAGGATTCCTTGGAGTGGAATTGCTGGGTCATATGGTAAATTTATGATTAACTTTTCAAGAAACTGCCAAACTTTTCCAAATTAATTGTACCATTTTATATTCCCATCAGTAATGTATGAGCTTTTCAGTTTCTCCACATCCCCACCATTTGGTATTATCTGCTTTTTTATTGTAACCATTCTATGTGTGTATGAAAGGTGATCAAAAGGTACAGTGAATGTTTAAATAAAAAATAATTTATTACAGTAAAAGATACATTGCCATTAATCCCCCTCAAAATACTCCCCCTTGCTTCAGACACACTTATCTCATCGTTCTTGCCACTTTCTGAAGCAGTTCTGGAAGTCATCTTTTGTAAGTGTCTTTACTTCATTCCCCATCATGACAACACTCCATGTCACACATCACTTCTGGTACAGGAATTTCTGTCAAATAACTACGGGGGCCGGTCGAGTGGCACATTGGTTAGGAGTTGGCTTGGGACACAAGCTCTGAGCAGCAGGGCCTGATTCAGATCTCACATGAGGGCCAGTGTGCCTGCGCCCTATACAGCTAAGATGGTGAACAACAGCTCGACCTGGAGCTGGGCTCTCCTGAGTTCCCAGTGATGGCGTAGGCTGCAGTGGATCTGGCCGGCAGCCGGCATGAGCTTTTGTGAGCTGCCATGAGCAGCCGTCCAATGGCAGGTGAGCGACTGCCTCACCTGGGAAGAGCGCAATGATAATACCAACATGGGCCAGTGAAGCGACGTCCTCCACAACTAGACTGAAGAACAAAAGGACAGCAACTTCTCTGTTCCCCTTCCTTCATTCCCCAACACTGTTCCCCTCCCCCAATTCCCCAATAAAATCTTTAAAAAAAAAAATTACAGTGTGTCCTTATCCACCTTATTCCCAGGATCTGGCATCATGCGACTTCTGGCTCTTCCTCAATGTCAAAAAGACCATGAAAGGAAAACAATTTGAATCGATTCAGGACATCGAGGCAGCCACAACAGTGCAACTAAAGACACTCACGAAAGAGAACTTCCAGAACTGCTTCAAAAGTGGCAAGAACAATGAGATGGATAAGTATGTTGGAAGTGAGGGGGAGTATTTTGAGTGGGATTAATGGCAATGTGTCTTTTACTGTAATAATTATTTTTATTTAAACATTTACTGTATTTTGTGATCACACCTTGTATGTGCATAGTGGTATCTCATGGTTTTAATTTGTATTTCCCTAATGGTTAATGTTATTGCATCTTTTTAAGTGCTTCTTGGCCATTCATGTATCTTTTTTGGTAAAATGTCTATTCATATTTTTATGCCTGCCTTAAAATGGTTTAAATAAGTCTTTTTTATTGTTGAGCTTTGAGAATTACGTATTGTGGATACAAATCCATTATTGAAGTATATGGTTTGCAAATAATATTTACCACTTTGTGGTTGAATTTTTTTGATGGTGTCTTTGTAGCACGAGTGTTTTTAATTTTAATGAAGTCTAACTTATCCGTTTTGACTTAATTTTATGTATGGTAATGGTCGTAGTTTTGTTTTGTTTTGACATACAGATATCCGATTCTCCTAGCTCCATTTGTTGAAAGGGTTGGGCAGTGAGTCCTGCAAGCACAGGGCTGTGCTGCCAGCGGTCAAACAGCATGCGGTAGAGCAGACTGTGGTGAGCATGTTGCTGCTCCAAGGTGAGCAGAGAAAGGATGGGTGGATTACCTGAGGGTCTTGGTCTTCTATCAGTCCCTTTTGGAGACACTTTCTGCCGTAGCAGTACTTTTCACGAGGCTCTCTGCAGTACTACGATTCCCAGCATGCATCGCGTGGGCCTGCCCTCCGCGGAGGCGGAAAGCCAACACAACTGGAAGTGTGGCTGCGCGGGAAGGGGTGGGCCTCGGGTTCTGGTTCCGAGATCTATTTCTCAAAGCTCTGTCCTCGGCGAGGGCCGAGCAGGCGGAACGGTGAGCACTATGCCTACCCCTTCATACAGGCCTCCTGTCTCTGGTCTGCCTCCGCCTTCCTCACTGGTCTGGGACTCGTTTCTTCCTTGAGTTTCCCGCGGGGACTATCTCTTGAAAGACGACCAACCGCAGCCGAGAATTTTGCCGTCGGGGCCAACCAGAGGCGAGTGGGGGAGAGGCGGAGGGTGGAAGAGGCGAGGTGTGGAAGCCCCGCCAGGCGGCGAGGAGAGAGTACGTTTCTCTCTGAAAAGGCAGGTCGCTCCGGCTGGTACCCCGAGGGGAGTAAAGGAGACGCAGCAGGGCGCGGAAGTGCTCGTACTCCCTGCTCGGGTGGGCAGGTGTCCGGGTCCAGCTTCAGCCACCATGTCCCACCAGACTTCTCTGGGCACCTCAGTGCCACAAGCCAACTGCCTGGATCTGTGGAGGGAAAAGAATGATCAGCTAGTTCGACAGGCCAAGGTAATGCGGCGATTGCTGGGGCCCCTTGCCTTTGTACCGCAAAATAGCAGAAAGAAAGTTTGCAATGGATTTACCCCAGCCCGTGAGGAGGGGCTGAGCTTGACCTCCCCCTGAACGATAGAAATTATTGGAGAATGATATCCCTTTCCACTGCTGCAAGGGGAGAAGAAAGGACCGATCCTTAGTGATATTCCATCCCACATTTGGCAGGTGGCTCAGGACGCCGGTCTGCCTCTGAGGCGACAGCAGTTGGCTCAAGATGCACTGGAAGGGCTCAGGGGACTCCTCCGTAGTCTGCAGGGTAAGCAGGGCCCTAACCCAGGATGGTCAGTTCCCCTCTTCCACAGCCAGAGACCAGTTTCCCTTCTCCATTTCTGAGATTGAGGTGATTATTCAGGAGGCAGGGGGTCCTCTTTAAGGCAAAGACAGGACTGGAGTGAAATCGCCTTTGTACAGGTGAATCTCCTCATTATACACACACAACAACAACAGCATTTGAAGAAGTGGTTTCCAGGATGGTCTAATTTGGAGAACTTTCTGCCCTTTCCAGACTTACTGTCCAAAGGGTGGGTTCTTTATTGAGGCCATTCTGGTTGGGGGGGGGTAATCTCTGGGTTGGGATCTTGTTCAGGGAATCTTTCATGGGGGAGCAGGCTGTGAGACAAGCATTTGTTGCTCCAGGTCTCCCTGCAGCTGTTCCTGTTCTCCATTTGGAATTGACTGTCATTTGCAACTTCATTACCCTAAGGGCGAGCCTGGCCCAGGGTTTCATTGAGGACCAGGCACAGGATATCCAACAGGGCTTAGAGAGAGGTGAGTGCCAGAGATTGCCTCCCATGCCCCTGCCAACCTCAGTCTGGGTTTAAGTCCTTGCAAGGGGATAGGAGAAGCAACATAATCTGTCATCTCCACAGAGAGAGATGCCCTTCTCTGATCCTCTATGTGCTCAGACCAGGAGCACCTTTGTGACCTTTGGGCTCCTGCAGAAAAGGAAAGCCAGAGATGAGGTCCTACCTCAGCTGTATGTGTGTGTGTACTCTACAGTGCTGGAGACCCAGGAGCAGCTGGGGCCCAGGCTGGAATGTGGGCTCAAGGAACTGTGGAACTCCATCCTTCATGCTTCCTCCCCTCTGCTGGAGCTGCTGCCTGCACTTCATCACCTGGCTGGCCTACAGGTTGCCCTCTGGCTGAGCACTGACTGTCTTGGGGACCTGACCTTGCTGCTGCAGACCCTGAATGGCAGCCAGGTAATTCAGGAAGTGACCTGGATCTAAAGGTCTCTTCCCTCTTCCCATCCCTCCCAGCTGCTGTAGCATGATTATGTGCTGGAAAGGCTGCTGTGTTGGTGGTCAGAAGACCTGGGTCTCTCAGGGACTCTTAGATGACCTTGTTCTGGTTAGTCCCTCATTGGGGGTTCTCTTGGGAGCGTGTTTTTTGTTGTTTTTTTAAGATTTTTTATTGGGGAATCGGGGAAGGGGAACAGACAAGTTGCTCTCCTTTTGTTGTTCAGTGTAGTTGTGGAGGATGTCACTTCACTGGCCCATGTTGGTATTGTGATCATTGTGATCTTCCCGGCTGAGGCAGTCGGTCCTCAGCCATTGGATGGCCACTCGTGGCATCTCACGGCAGCTCACACTGGCTACCGGCCGCTCACGCTGGCTGCCAGCCACTCACAGTAGTTTACAGCAACCCACTGCAGCCTATGCCTGCACTCAACAGCAGCCCAACTCCAGGTCGAACTGTTGTTCACCATCTTAGCTGTAGACGGCGCAGCATCACTGGCCCATGTGGGATCCGGACCCCGCTGCTCAAAGCTGGCGCTCCCAAGCCAACTCTTAACCAACGAGCCATTCGGCCGGCCCAGGGAGCGTTTTTAAAATAGCTTAGTGATCTCAGATAGGGTTAGGACCCTCATAACCTTGCTGAAGTCACTTCCCAGCCTCAGTATTTTCATCAGTAACCCAAACAATGTCCTTGCCCTGAGTCTTCCTGGGCTTATCGTAAGTAAGGAGGTGCACTAAAATAGATTATCATTGCCCCAGGTTTTTCTTCCTCCCTTTATCCTTGCCCCACAGTTATATATCTCTTACAATTGAGGGAACAGGACTCAGGAGGACCCTTGGATTCAAGGTCCAGCCAGAGTAGGCTGAGACAGAAGAAATGGTTTCAGGCTTAGGGCCTCTTATGGTCCTTCTCTCCCCAGAGTGGGGCCTCTGAGGATCTGCTGATGCTTCTAAAAACTTGGAGCCCCCCAGCTAAGAAGTCAGATGCCCCACTGACTCTGCAGGATGCCCGGGGCTTGAGGGATGTCCTTCTGACAGCATCTGCCTTTCGCCAAGGTCAGTTAGCAATCTGACCCAGTCCTTCCTCCCTACTTCCCATCTTAAGGGGCCTCTAGGCTCATGCCTTTCCTGTCATGTCCTGTTTAGCTTAGTAGAACTCTGTGTTCTTTTTCCCCATCATAACCCTCCCCCACCCCCCAACCCCACCCCTGCACCTGCATACCCTATGGGCCTCTCTAAGCTTGCTTCCTAATTGCCCTCAGGCCTCCAGGAGCTGATCACAGGGAATCTGCACAGGGCACTGAGCAACCTGCATGAAGCAGCCTCAGGTCTGTGCTCACGGCCTGTGTTGGTCCAAGTGTACACGGCCCTGGGGACCTGTCTCCGTAAGATGGTAAAGACAGTTCTAGGGTGGGTTGGGGAAACCACGGGTGTTATGGATAGCTTTTTTCATTGTGAGGGTTGCTGAGGCTTGTGTCCTCTCACCCCTGTAGGGCAATCCACAGAGAGCTCTATTATACTTGGTTGCAGCCCTGAAAGGGGGATCAAACTCGGGTCCCCCACTTTTGGAGGCTTCCAGGCTATATCGGCAACTGGGGAACACAGTGGCAGAGCTGGAGAGTCTGGAGCTTCTGGTTGAGGTAAAGAACTATGCCACATGAAGATATGGGGATTGCTCAGGTGCTTGTGTTGGGGAGACTAGTCAGGGTATAAGTAGAAGGAAGTATTGCTCCCAAAGATTATAGATGTACTTTCTTCTTTTGTCCCTCTTAGGCCTTGAGTATCACTCCTAGCTCTGAAGTCCCTCATCTTCTTATTGAGGTAGAGTTGCTACTCCCACGACCTGACCCAGCCTCACCCCTTCACTGTGGCACACAGAGCCAAGTCAAGCACCTGCTAGCAAGCCGATGCCTACAGACGGAAAGGTGAGGTTTCACCTTGCTCATGTGAGCTCCTCTTCCTACTTCTGATGACTCCTGGGGTGTGACTCTGCTTCTGTTCTTGTGAATTTGGCAGGGGTTGGGGGGGTTGACAAGTCAGTGGCAGGACATAGGTCCCCACTCCTCAGCCCCTTCCCTTGCTGCTGGACCTGAACTGAGGACTCTAACCCCAACACTAACCTGTATCTTTAAAACTCTGAAGTCTCCTCCCAAATCCATTCTGTAAGTAGGGCAGATCCATACTGAGCCAGGTTTGGAGCCTCAAGACCCCACACTCCCCACTCCTCAGAGCCCTTGAGCATCCCTCCTTTAGCCCAGATCACTTGGGGAGCCCTGCAGGAGCCTAATGTGAGGCTCATGGGCTATGACTCCTCAGGGCAGAGGACGCTGCAGAACATTACTTAGACCTTCTGGCCCTGTTGCTGGATGGCTCGGAGCCAAAGGTGGGTATGTCTTCAAGTTCCTCTGCAGTTAGGGTGGGAGAGGGTTGGAGTCTTTTTTGGAGTAGAGCGGGACTGCTGTTTTCTATTTTGTTTCCACTGCCGTTCTCTCTGTACAATCTGGGGGGGTCAGACCGGGAAGGTTTCCCAGAGCAAGGAGTCTAGGGTGGCAAGGAATGGGTGGTCTCCTTGTGGTACCAGAGCCTGGTGAAAAGGTTGGGAGTGGTGGTTCATGTCTTTTTAAGATACTGCATCCTTCTCCCACCCCAGTTCTCCCCACCCCCTTGCCCCCCAGGGCCCTGTATGCCTGAGGTGTTCTTGGAGGCAGCAGCAGCGCTGATCCAGGCAGGCCGAGCCCAGGATGCTTTGACCGTATGTGAGGAGCTGCTCAGCCGCACATCATCTCTGCATCCCAAGGTGCCCCAGCTGTGGGAAGATGCCAGAAAAGGAACCAAGGAGTCGCCACATTGCCCACCCTGGGTCTCTGCTACCTACTTGCTTCAAGGCCAAGCCTGGGTGCAACTGGGGGCCCGAAAAGAGGCAATTAGTGAATTTAGCCGGTGAGCCCTGGAAGCCAACCAGGGCCCTAGGGAAAGTGGAGGGATAATTTTCTGATTAGGACCTCAATTGGTGAGCTCCATTCTTAACTACTTACCCCAGAGTTTCTGAGGTTGACGCCTTTTCATCCCTGCTCTATGTCCCACTTCAGGTGCCTTGAGCTGCTCTTCCGGGCCACACCTAAGGACAAAGAACAAGGTAATCTAGACTCTCAGTTTTCCTCTTCCCTCCTGGACATGGTGGTGGTGGATATCAGTTCCCTTTCCATGTGTCCCAGCCCACCAGGATATTTAAGAGAAAGGGGGTCCGCATTGAGATAGAGGGAGACCTGGGGTTACGGTGACTGTGTGGCTGGGAACACAATTCTTGACTTTGGGGGTGATCTCCAGGGCCTCCTTCCAACTGTGAGCAGGGGTGTACGTCAAATGTGGCACTACAACAGCTTCGGGCCGCAGCTCTAATTAGTCGTGGACTGGAATGGGTGGCTAGTGGCCAGGATACGAAAGCGCTACAGGACTTCCTTCTCAGTGTGCAGGTGTGCCCAGGTATGTGTACTTGCATGACATCATCTATGCACAGATGCACAAGGATAGAGAGGCCCATAGGGGAGATACTTGGGGATAAATGTAAGAGTGATGTTCATAGATAGGAGGGGTGAATAGGGTTGTGCTATATATACTTAGGGGTATATCCAGGTGTGCAGACATACATAAGTGTGTATGAAGGCCTTTCAGGAACTCCCCAGTCTCCCCAATGTCCTTAGACACAAGGATAGTGACTGCACTGGGAGTGTGTTGGGCAGGAGTAGAGTCAACTGAGCCCTTTGTCCTGGGCATGCAGTGCTTAGGGCTAGGAATGGTTGGGAATGATCTACTCCTGGTTCAATGTGTGGCTGTAGGCAAGAAAGTTCCCCACTCTATGCCTTAGTTTCCTCTTTTATAAAATGATGCTTAAGCTTGTGTCAAGTTCTAAGGCTCTGTACTATGGGGTGGCACTACAGGGAATCGAGACGCTTCCTTTCACCTGCTTCAGAACCTGAAGAGGCTGGATCGGAGGGATGAGGCCACTGCTCTTTGGCGGAGGCTGGAAGCCCAAACTAAGTTGCCACAGGAAAATGCTACATGGTGAGACTAAGGCCTGCTGGCTTAGGGCTAAGGGGCACTTGGTGTCCTGGAGTCCTTGGGCTTCTTGGGTGGTGGTGAATGAAAAGGAGGGACTGGCCCACCCTTCAGCCTTACGCCTCATTCTTCTTGTTCTCTAGGTCTCTCCCTCTGTACCTTGAAACCTGTTTGAGCTGGATCCGTCCTCCTGACCATGAAACCCTTCTTGGAGAGTTTCGGACATCTCTGCCAGAGCCTTGTGACCTGTAGCTGCCATGTTTTGAAGAGTCTGAGCTGGGATCCCAGTGGGCCATCTTTCTCTGGGGAGTGCTTTCTGTTTATCATTCTTGGGGAATGTGACTGGAGCTGACCATTCCTATATAACTGGTTTGGAGAGGTTGGTGATAGTCCTACAAAATTTTTTGGCCTAGTTACTGTCCTCTGGTTCCAGAGGACCGCCCGCCCCTCCAGAGGACTGCCCGCCCCACTTTGCTTGTGGCACCTTTTTTCCTACTTCTCCTTGTGTTGAGTAAAAATCTCTTATCTATTTCTTATCTGCCTATTACATATACTTGAGTGGGAAGGCTCACAGCTGTGATTCAGTTGAGTGCTGGTTGTCTAAGATGCCCTCTCCCAACATCATCTACTTTATGACTTGAGGTCTTGGTAGAAAAAAAGGGCTGCAGGAATCCTTATTCAGGAAGCAGTGGCTTTAGTTCTTCCCATTTCCTAAAAGCAGAGCCCCAAAGCCCAGGATCCTGTCTGAAGTGACGGAATGAGTGGAGTTGGGTTTGAAAGGTGGTCTAGGCAGGCCTCTGGACAAGGGCAAGTACTTGACTCTTAGAGGGGACGGACAAGCAGACCTGTGTCTCAGAGCGACTTCTTACCTCCTCCCTAATCCTAAATTCCGGAAATTGGGGGTTTGATTGTCTCATCAAATGTTTCTGTGTGGTTAGGGGTGAAGGATGAATCTAGTCAGTGTGCTACTAACACTGCCTAATGAATCTAGTTAGGGCTAGCTGACATTTGGGACCCAAGGACTAAAACTCACAGCAGGCAATCTTATTCTTCCTTTGGGCTCTATTAAATCTGCTGTTTGTTCTGTGGATGCCTTTTGACCCCTCTCTGGACTTGAGTGCCCTCTCTCCTCCAACCATTAATATTAATACCCATTGGTAAGAGGAAGCATATATTTTCAAGCCCTGAGGAACTGTAAAGGCTGTGGGATTAGGGTTGCCAGAGGGTGCAATGACAACAGGGTAGAGTGGATGAAGAGCTGGGGTGGCCTGAGCCAACGTTTTGAAGAAGCAAGTAGAGGGGTTAGGGTTAATCCTCAAGTTTTTGAAGAAGATAGGTGTGTAGGTTATGACTACAACAGCACTAGACTAATACAAGCTTCAATCCATTGTGCCAGGTCCTTCCAGCAGTATAAACTCAGGAGCCAATGAACTAGAGCCAAGTGGGAGAGTCCGCCTCCAAGGGATTAAAGTCTTTGCTTTCGCCAGTCGATCTGGCCCCATTACTTTCGTTGATTGGTCGAGAATCCCAATCCGTCGAGGAAGCGTAGTGTTGCGGCCAATTGACGTGGCGTTACTAGGCGTGTTGCATCCCTGAGGCGGGAGCCCGGCCACAAGCGAATTTTCTGATTGGCTGTGGTCCGCGGGTTGCTGGGGAGAGGCGCGGAGAGGCGGGCGGGAGTCCCCAAGGCAGGCACTGATTGGCTGAGGTGAGAGCACCTCTCCTTCCGATGATTCGGCTCTTCTCGGCTCGGTCTCAGTGAAGCGTCTGCAGCCGTCGTTTGAGTCGTCGCTGCTGCTGCCTCCTCGCGGATCAGGAGCCAGCGCCTCCCGCCCGCCCACCGCCCGGGTGCCGCTGGGAGGAAGCGAGAAGAAGGTCGCCTGCGGGTTTGTCGCTCCTGCTCGCCCCGCGCCCAGGAGAGCTGAGGTCCGGCCCAGTCGGTCGCCTGCCACCCCTTGTAGCCGTTACCCGCGGGTCGCCACAGCCGCCGGCTGGGAGAGGCGCGCGCCATGGCCTCCGGAGCTGAGTGAGTGTTTGTGTGTATGTGTATGCGCGCGCGCCCGCCCGCCCGCTCTCGCTCTGCGGGTTCGCGCACCTGGGGACCCTTCCGCGCTGCGTAGGCCCAACCCGGCCTGGCCTTGGGCGGATCTAAGAGGTGGAGATCAAGAAAGAGGGAGACAGAGAAGGAGAGGTGAGGAAGGGGGCAAATGAGGGGCCGCCGGCCCGGCTGGGCCTGGCTGCGCCCCCTAGGCGGAGCTTGCGTTGGGCCCGGGTCGGGGCCTGGGCCAGATCGTGCTGTGTCATGCAGGCCCCGGCCGGCCTGATTGGCTCCCTTAGAACAGCCGTCCCGGCCTAGTGAGGTCTGCGGGCCCACACTGCCGGCGCGGAGTCTTGGTGTCTTGGGGCGCCCACCTGCGATCCGGCCTACCGCTGAAGGCCTTTGGTCGGGGAGAGAGCAGGCCCCGCGGGCCCAGCGCCCTAACTGGGCCCGGTGGGCGTGGACTTCGGGCCACGTGAAGACCTTCGGAGCTTGGAGACCCAGGCGGAGGCTGGAGCTGCGGAAGGCCCGGCGAGCTTAGGGAAGCTCACCATGTCCCCTTTGGAGCCGGGTCGGCCTGGCCCGTGGTTAGCATCCTCTGCGACCTGAGTAGTGAGGAAATGTTAGGGAGAGGGTGGGCCCAGCTTTTCGCTACTAGACTTCCTGTTTTAGGCCAGTTGTTATTAATATGAGAAAGCTTTAGTCAGTTTTCCTTGATGTTATGAAGTGAGTGCGGGAAGAAAGGAACTTTTCCTTAATCTACTATTTTAGTTCTTGCTATATCGTTCGAATCTGTTGTATTTTGTGGGCCTTCCTCGATTTCAGCCTCCGTGGTGTGAAAGTTAAGAGTTGCCCTAGCTCTTTGAACACATACTCACGTTTTTTTCCCCCCAAGCTGCTATGTTGAGAAATCCTGGGCCCTCCACCCGTGAGGAAAGCATCAGATAAAACTTGACTACCTCTATCCGTTGAATTTAGAATCAGGAGCTTTAGATACTCAGGAGGAAAAAAAGACAGCCATCCTATGGAAACTCTAACATGCAAATCACCTTCCTGACTTGAAGAGAGTTTAGTTTTTTGAGGTGTGTTCCTTTTTTTCAAGTTTCTGAATCGAGATGAAGTACTACTCAGTTGCCTATTTGAAGACTACTTATTAATACTTAAACTATTCTTAGATTATTCAGTCAGTCTTTTGTTTTCAAGACTAAAAAAAATCCAAAAGTCTTGGAACCTGGCTTCATAGATGGTTTCTAACCTCTAGGTCATCTTGATGACTCTAAATCTGAATTCCCTCCAAGCCCCCTGTGGCCCATTGGAGTTCTGGAAAGGACCTGACTCATGCAGAAGACAATGGGGTGTGTCCCCAAAGAGCCTTCAGGACTGCTGTAGGCCCATGATCAGGCTTAATTATACTTTAGAGGTTACTTCAGTTGATCTCGGTAGGTAGATGTGGAATTACCGTGTCTCCCTGAAAATAAGACCGGGTCTTATATTAATTTTTGCTCCAACAATCTATATTTATTCATTTATTCATGTTCAAAAATTACATTTATTCAAATAGTCATGTCTGGATGATGATCTTAACGGGGGCTTATTTTGGGGTAGGGCTTATATTACAAGCATCTGAAAAATCATGCTAGGGCTCATTTTCCGGTTAGGTCTTATTTTCGGGGAAACACGATAAGGGAAGGGAAGAGCATACTACTCATCCCCAGTGCCAGGGTCAGCAATGATAGGCAGATTGGAGATTTTCCTAGAATGCAGCTTTGGAGTTAAAATATGAACTATGATGACTGGAGGCATTTTGTTTTTCTCCCATCCCAGTTCTATATATCAAACAGGAAGATGGGCAGCCCTTGGAGGGTGTTTTGAGATGTGAGGGAGAGGGAGAATGGATGGGTTTAATTTGCCCTCAACTGTCACATTGACCATGCTTGCCCTCCAGGGTGTTGATAAGCATTGGGAGAATTTGCCTATTCTGCAGCATTGTGCTCAGAGTGCCACACTTGGGTTGGGGGAGGCAAGCTTAAGCCTAGGAGAAAACTAGTTTAAAGTTTATGATTAAAGATGCAACTTATGTGAGAGGGTCAGCAGAAAGTTTACAATTTTATTAAATGAATGGGATTTGTATTTCTCTTGGTTGTATCAGGACCCAAGATGTAAAAACCCATAACTCCCTCGCTAGTATTCTAGAGCATAGGCATCTCTTTTTCTTCCAAGTTGTGGAGATGTTTCTAACAGGAATATTATTTTGTCTTGTTTTGTTGACTAATGTATCCCCCAGATCCTAGAACAGTCCCTGGGTTATAATATATACTCGTTAACTTGTTGAATGAGGAAATAATTCATGGAGAACATTCTTTTTTGTTTATTCGATTCCTTCATTGTCTGGCCTCCCTATTTTGGTAAATGCACATATTTTTCTAAGCCTCACTAAGAAGGGGTAGCTCTTCAAAGGGAGAGAGCCCACTGAGTTTAGTTAGTGAAGGCTGGAGATAAGCTAAGAAATTGGTGTTGGGTAAATGATCTTAGTTTCTGGGAAATAATCGAAACTGGGCAATTTAAACTGAGTTTAGGGCCGGCCAAGTGGCTCAGTTGGTTAAGAGCTTGCTCAAGAGTTTCAGCTCTGAGCAACAGCGGTTCGAGTCCAGCCTGAGCTGAGCAGCCGCTGAGCTGCCAACAGGTAGCAGGATGGCTCAGCTAAAAAAAAAAATAAAAAAATAAAAATAATAATAAACTGAGTTTAAACTCGGGCAGCCTTGATTTGGATGAGAGGGATTTGGATTTGCCCCATGTCTCAGCATTTCTTGGTTTTGACTTTTTGAACCAACTCCATGGAGTTGTGTGTCTTTGCAGAAATTACCTTTTGAGCTTGAGCCTCTTACTGAAGGTTCCAGATCTGTTAATGTTTTTTTCAAATATGATTTTTTTTTTTAAGATTTTTATTGGGGGATGGCAACAGCGCTGGGGAATTGAGGGAAGGGAAACGGACAAGTTGCTGTCCTTTTGTTCTTCAGTCTAGTTGTGGAGGACGTTGCTTCACTGGCCCAAGTTGGCACCATCATTGCGCTCTTCCCGGGCAAGGCAGATCAGTCACTGGCTGCTGGCTACACATGGTAGCCCATGGCAACCCATTGCAACAGGGGCTGCAGCCTACGCCATCGCCAGCGACTCAAGGCAGCCCAGCTCCAGGATGAGCTGTTGTTCAGCATCTTAGCTGTGGAGGGCAGTGTCACTGGTCCTCATATGTGGGATCTGAACCAGGGCCCTCTGGCGTCCCAAGCCAGCTCTTAACCAACGCACCACTCACCCGGCCCTCAAATATGATGATCTTTATGTTGGCATTCCTATAATATGTAGAAAGCTCTGGCATTCAGTTGGGTTAGCCATTGAGGAGGGTAGTACTAATACCGTATTTCCCCATGTATAAGACGCTCCCATGTATAAGATGCACCTTAATTTTGGGGCCCGAAATTTGAAAAAAAATGTATTACATAA